TTTTTTTAGACATGTGATCTTGTAAGACTTGACATTTCAATGGAGTTATCAGTGGGAGAGGAAGAAAAATTCTCTTCTATTTCTTCTTTTTTTTTTTCAATTTTCCTCTTCATGTCCCATTTAATGAGTGAATGCTAGTGGAGGGATAATCTTCTTTTTTGATTTTCCATCAGTAGGAGTATTTTTTCTTTTTTTTTCTTTGTATTTATTCTTAGCTCTTGAGCTTTGCTTTCACCATTGATGAATTCTCTCTTAATCTTTAATTATTTATTATTAAATTTAAAAAAATGCCCGGACAAAATACGGTGTTCACAATGGTGACGACAGCCACAAACAAGCACAATACCGATGCTTGAACTAAGAAGAACAACAACGATGATGATGACGCAAGGTGATGATGATGATGGGTTTAAGCGTAAATTGCTGGTAACTGGAAAAAGAGAAGAGGAAGGTCTTACTTAGTTGATCTACATTGCCGGTCCAAAATGAGAGAAAAGGAAGGTCTTTGTGCCAATTTGACCAATGTGAATCACTAGCTTCATCTTCAGTCTCATCTATCTCATTTTCCTTTGATCTCCACTAAATGAGGTGGTGAAAAATCAAAAAAGGAATAGCAACAAGAAGAGTAGTGGTCTTTCGTGCCGCCACCATGCTCTTTAGGGAGAAGGAAATTGATCGTGTGGATGAGTTATAAGCCATAGTTACATATTTTTCTTTTAATTATTTTAAGGACATTATAGTCTTTTCATTATTTATGTTTAATTGTAAAATAATATAAAGGTGAATATTTCCTTTAAATATTACTCCATATCAAATATAGTTTTAAAACCTCATTCTCAATTTCAACCACATTCCTAATCTCAATCATTCTAAATTGAGACATGTGTATCAAATAGGGCCAAAGAGTACAGGTTACACCATGCCCCTCAAGAAGTAATTAATGGTTGGACACACATGCGGATGCTCCTAATGAATCTAATCCTCTTCTTCTATATGATAGAGGTGGGGAAGTCTCCCACAGTAGTTAGAACTTTTGATCTTGTATTTACATATTTCTCCTAACTTTTGCTAGCCACCTCAATGAGAAAAAAAATTTATATTTTTCTAAAATTATCTTTGTTTAAATTCATTAATTATAAGAGAAAATGTAATGTAAAATTTAAATTTTTTCCTTTAGATAGGAATATAATTGAAAGTTTATTATATTTTTAGATAAAGTTAATGGTTTAACCACTTCTTAAATTGATTCAAATAAGATATTTAGAAGTTTCTTATAATAAAGACTAGAGACCTTGTTAGTGTCATATTATTATTATTTTTTTAAAAAAACTAACACGCAAAAGTTGAAAATGCTTTCAGCCCAAAAAATAGGTTTTTTTTACCTAGTTGAAAAAAAAGTTTAGAAATGCCTTTATTAAAATATTCACATTCATTTTTAAATTTTTTTGTCACGAATATATTCCTATTGTCTTATGTATATGTGTGTGTATATATATATATAGATCAACTTATATTAACAGAAAAAAAAAAGAAAAACAAAGTCAAAAAGTCGAAGCAACAACGGGAAAATTAAGGAAAAAATATAGGGAATTTTCCTGACGTGTGTAATTATAATTGTATTTCACAAGAACACAACTATTAAAAAGCTTCAAGAGGGAATTGATATCTCGCTACATAATGTTTTGGATTCCAAGACTAAAGATTAAGCAAATTTTAAGAACGCAATTTCTAATCTCTCAAGTGATTGGTCGAAGTTTCTGATCCAAATTAGTAAGCTTCTATGACATGATTACTTGTTTTGATCTAGTGGGAGGGAAGCAGATTTTCAAAACGTTAAACTCTATCTTCTTCATTGTAGATGATATTGCATTGATAGTTATATGCCCTTTTTCTTTTGTATTTCTATATCCTAATCTCCCATGTCAACAATAAGGATACAAGTTTTAGATAGTTTGAAGACCTGTTCAAATTAGAGAGTTTCATGTAGAATGTGAAAGGAGTCCTACTTGTATGATTCAATTCCCAGTTGCATGCACTCTTAAGGAAATTAAAATTTTCATTAAATTTCTTGATGACTTGCTGAACTAAACACTTGACTCCATTATAAATGAGCACATTCCTTTTAAACCAAATGAGATGAAACAGAGTGAAGATGCTTTTCATGATGAAAAAATCTTACTTAATAGAGAAGGTCTTAAAAGCCCTTAAAATCTAATTTATCAAACTATAGTCTGACATGTTCGTCAAGTAGATAGATAATGTCCCAAACTAAATAGTACTAGAAAAAGGACTATCCCAAAAAATTTGATTCAAAGTCTTAAAACATTCACAACCGAAGGCACAAGGAATATTTGCACTAAATGTTTTTGAAGAATGTCACCTGTAAGAATTGCCTTATAGATTAACTTCTAGATAAACAATGGAGTTTTGTATATTATTAGGTTTTCAAAGAAAACTTCAAATCTCTTCATTAATAAGAGAACTAGCCTTAATATCTTGAAAAAGTTAAGAATAGCCCAAATGAATAGAATACATACCTTCTCCCGACATGATCTCATTAGAGTTTTTAGAAAAAGAAACTTAAGTCTTTAGATTTGGCAGAATTAACATTATACAAAGATTTTAAACACTATATGATGTTGTTGAGCAATTAAGGCAGACATTTATCGATATAAATTATGTGAGACAGAGATCAATTTCTCATCAGCACCTATCAATAAAGGGTTTTTTTTTTTAAATGAGATATGCAAGCTTAGAAATCCCTTTCCAAAACCAAGAAGCAATATGATGAAGTTTAATGGAGTAACCGTCCGTTTGATCAAGATACTAGTAAATGCTATGCTATTTATTTTATTATTTATGCTTTTTGTTTTTTGGCCAAAGGTGGATATTTATTTATGCTTCCATGAAAGGAGAGTCCATAGGCGCATGGCTGTCTGCAATCCACACTACGAGATGGAGCGCGTGGGAGACCAAGTCTTCTATTGTTTATTGAAGTTTCCTAAAAAAAATTATACGTTGACTTTAGAATCCAAACCCCCCGGGCCCCCGCCCCAAATAATTACTAACGGCAATTTTTTAATAGATAAATGATTTAAAATGAATAAATTATTCTAAAATTTTAGATTAAGGATTATTATAGATAATAAGCTTATTTATTATATAAATTATTTTTAATTTTTAAAAATAATTTAATATAATAATTTTTATTAATAAAAGTTAACTTTAATTGTTAATTAAATAAAAAATAACATAAAAAGATTTTAAAAATGATTAAAAATTATCAAAAAATTATAATAAATAATTCAAAAGTGACAGAAAAAGGTCAAAGAAATTACAAACTAAGACCAAAATTTTTTTTCATAATTTTCTGTGACTTTTGGGTTCTTTTTTTTGTAATTAACTAACAATTAAAATTAAATTTTATTAATAATAGAGCTCAAATTATATTGTTTTCATAAGTTGAGGAAATAATTTACACAATAAATGAGTTCAAGATCTACGGTAGTAATGTACTCATTTATTCTTTTTTTAATTATATTTGACTCTATCGAAGATTTATTATTAATAAAAAATTTTATTTTTATACATTAGAATACTCCCTCTGATTTTATTTATAAATTATTTTTACCAACCTTATTAATACGAATATAATAAAAGTATAAAAAATAAAGGTAAGTAAAAATTCAAACATAACCCTCAAGTAAAAAGTAAAAAGTAAGTTAATTATATAATATTATTTTTTTGTCTTTCTTTTTCTTACTTTTTAAGGATAATTTAAAAATTTTAATTTAAAATAAAATAATCTCATTAATAAATGATTTATAAAATAAATCAAATTTATTTTTACAAAGTGACTTGTATATTGAATTGAGAGAGTAGTTTTTTATTGGGACAAATATATATTAAAATAGTTTAAATCCTTACATTTATTGGAACCACCGCTCGCTTACTCATTCTCACCATTTGAGTCATCCTTGTTAATTATTTTAAAAAATTCAAATGTTCATATAACATTATAAATTTGGAAAAAATATAACATTATAATTTTAGATTACTTCATACAAAGTAATTACAATTAATTAATTTTATATCGAAAAAGTAAAAATTAGATATAAGGGTTATCTTATTTTAATGAAAAAAGGCATGGCAGAAAAAGTCAAGTATGGGTTTCCAAAAATGTATTCAGTATAATTAAAGTCAACAAAAAAGCTAGCTTAAAGGACAATTGATTTTAGAAAATGAATGTGACCAATGAACAATGTTACTATTAAAAATTGAAACCAAACTCTACCTCACTAAAATTACTCCTCATACTTTATTCAACAATATTTTATTATAATATTAAAAATAAAAAATAATAAGGATTGTTGGAGAAAATTTATATCAATTAATAAATTGTTATTTTCAAAATTCAAATAGGAAACAAATTTGATTGAACTATTATTAATTTAGAATAATTTTTATTAACACTCAAATGAATATTTATTAATAAAAAATTAATTTAAATTAATAAATATTCATTTAATTTTTTATTAGTATAAATTTTTTTCAACAATTTTTAATTGATATTTTTTCTATTAAAAATTAAATTAACTTACTTAATTGAACTAATAAATATTTTAATTAATTTAATAAAATATTTTATTCATAAGTTATGATTGATTTTATTATAGTTTGATTGTAATTTTAACAACTAACTTTTGAATTAATATCTTAGTCATGTCACAATCAATTAAGTTTTTAATATCTTATATTACCCCCTGGTTGTTGGCGCCTTGGCGGTGGTGTTGGTGCAGATTTTTCTAATTTGACTCAATTATTATGTAGCACTCACAGGAACCGGCGCGTGCATCGTTAATGTGGGCTCTGTCGCGGTCCCACAAGGCCACTAGTGGAGTGCCTCTCCGTCTTGGTCATCACGAGCTCGCGACCAGGTTTTAACTTGTATAAAAAGACCTTTGACCACAGAGATTCAGCGCACAAAATAAGATAAATCCATTGAACTCTTTAGGTGCGGCGAGATTAATAGCGAGGGACCCATCTCAACGAGGCCACTCGAGCGCCCTCTCACGCTGTTCCTCTCCCTCCTTCCACCACCTTCTTTTACTTTCTGACCTGAGCTCAGACGCTTCAAGAAGCTTTATCTTTTGGAACTTAAAAGGCAAAGAAGCTGGAAAGCAAGAGCTCCTTATATTGTAAAGTTCTGAATGGATTTGCTATTGTCGCTGTCCTCAGGTACACATTGCCCTCCCTCCTCTCTTTCTCTCCCTCTCTAAACTTTTCAGTTTCTGTCACTGAAATTTGGACATTTGTTCAAAAGGGTATTTTCCGAAGTGCTTTCAGCTGAAGATTTTGACTTTTGAGTGATTTATTTCAGATTTATTCTTTTGATAATAAGTTGTCTGACTCGTCTATTTTCCACACATGACCAATGCGAATGAGTTTTCCATCCTCCAAGCCTTAACAATTTTATATATCGTTTTTTTTTTTTTGGTTGGACTGGAATTTAATTCAGCGTTTTAATTTTTTGTTTGGAAGTCATACTTTGAAACGATAATTTGATTTCGTTTAATTTCAATCGGTTTTGCTCAATACTGTTCTCTGCATGTAATAAAGAGATTCAACGGTGAAAACATTCAACGTTTGATTGCGGCTGATTGGTGGCTATGACTGAGTCTACATGAAAGGCACTCTCCTGAATCCTCTTTGAATTCAGCCTTAAGATTTTCTCTGCTTCAAAAGCAGTTAAAGCTTACAACAAGTTGCAAGGACATAATTGGAATGTGAGGCTTTGGCGCAAGCATATAGGATCTGAAGTTTAAGTGGTGCCAATTATTTTGTCAGCTGAAATGGATCGAAATGGGGGAGAGAGTTGGAGGGAAGTGATGAAGAAGATGCTTCCTCCTGGAGCTTCTCTGCCTGATGAAGCTTCTGATCTTGACTACTCCATAGCCATAGAATATCAGGGTCCACCAGTTTCATTTGAAGTGCCAACAGTTGATCCTCTTGATATGAATTCTCGAGGAGTTCCACTTTCTGGATCACAATCTATTTCTCGTGTGAGGCCTCAGGTGATTGAGCCAATTCCTCTGCCAGTGTCTCGTATTGCCGGTGTTACAGGTTCTCCTAATCAAAGTCCTAGGATGTCAGGAAGTTCAGAATCTGCGGTGTCTGTCTTGCAAAATCCTGACTTTTCTTCAGCGTCAGCCTCACCTGGTTCAGCTCATAATCCTCCTAGGCAAGTGATAAACGAATCAAAGAGGGCGCATGTTGTCACTTTTAATACTGTTGATAGATCTCAAAGGAAGGAAGCTGAAGTTATGGAGCCAGTTTATCCAGAATATGTGTGGGTTTCAAAGGAAAGGAAGAAAAAGAAATTCAGAGTTTGTTATAGATGTGGAAAAGGGAAGTGGGAAACTAAGGAATCTTGCCTAGTTTGTGATGCCAAGTATTGTAGCATTTGTGTTCTCAGGGCCATGGGATCAATGCCAGAAGGACGCAAATGTGTAACTTGCATTGGTCAGCCTATTGATGAATCAAAGCGTATGAAATTAGGTAAACATTCAAGAGTATTATCTCGACTTCTTGTTCCTCTAGAAGTTAAGCAAATTATGAGAGCAGAGAAAGAATGCTCTGCCAATCAGCTTAGGCCAGAGCAGCTGATGGTTAATGGATTCCCACTGAAGCCCGAGGAGATGGCAGAATTACTTGGGTGTCCCTTACCTCCACGGAAGCTGAAGCCTGGTAGATATTGGTATGACAAAGAATCTGGTCTCTGGGGAAAGGTGATGATGGGTCAATATGGTTCAACAATATTATTCCATTTGTTATCGAAGAACAGTGGTTTTAATGCATTCTTATATTTAATTAACAGGAAGGGGAAAAACCTGACAAGATAATAAGTTCAAACTTGAACTTCACCGGGAAACTTAGCGCTGATGCTAGTAATGGAAACACACAAGTTTACATCAATGGTCGAGAGATTACAAAGCTTGAATTGAGGATACTGAAGGTAAGCAGGTCCCTTTCTTTAAATTTATTTGTGTTTACTATATCAGCTGTAACTAGTTGGATTATGCAGTCCAACTTATGGTACACTTATTAGGAGTTGAGGTGAAAGGGGTGAAAATTAACATGTTCAAACACTCTGAACTTTCACCCGCTTTCCCTTCATTTGCACCTTTACCAAGTGAGTCCTTGGGGGAAAACGTCCAAATAGCCCAATATGCAAACTTCAGGCTGAAGCTGTTTTCTACAGCCCAAAGACATCTCTAATTTTGGATGATCCTTAGAATTTTTCATGAACTTCTCCAATCAGTGATTGACTGCTGGATGATAGGCAGTATTGATGAAAAGCCTGCTTAATTGGATTTAGTCATGTAATCATAAGAATAACATTGTTTTTTGAACTTTCAGCTGGCAAATGTACAGTGTCCACGTGATACCCACTTTTGGGTTTATGATGATGGTCGTTATGAGGAAGAAGGTCAGAATAATATCAGAGGAAACATTTGGGAGAAGGTATTTACTTCAATCTCGTGCCAGGGACTTCGAAATCTTGAGGTTCTGGAACACTAATGAATTATCATTTTGGCCTTTTCCTACACAGGCTTCAACAAGATTTGTTTGTACCCTGCTCTCTTTACCCTTTCCCCATGGAAAGCCTCATGAACCAAGAGATGAGATCAATAATTATTCTACAGTTCCAAAACATCTAGAACAGAAAAAAGTTCCAAAGCTTCTTCTTCTTGGACTTCAAGGATCAGGAACTAGCACTATCTTTAAGCAGGTATGGCTTAGAAATGTTTCAGATGGCTGGTACTGAGGTCACCAATTATGTAAGCACTTGATATGTTTCACTGAATCTGAAGAGTAACTGATGCAGACGAATGAGAGCATAGTTTATTTTATCCTTTCCTTAGTTTCTTTCAAAATTGGGAGGTTTGAGGGTTGGAGTTGACATCCAACTGACTAGAAATCATGGCCACTTATAAAACCGCACTTCATTTATACCAATGATATTAAATTGATCTCCCTATCTGGTCTTAATTTAGGCAAATGGTAGAGCAATGCATTTTTAGGGGTTTGGAAAAGCATGATGAACATGAGAACAGCATGAAATAGTGGAAGAAACTAAACAGTCCTTTTTTTCCCTTGAAAAAAGAAATTTGCTTTTCAGATATCTTTTTTTCTTTCCTCTATGACACTCAATTTTTGAGTTCCTGAGCAGGCCAAATTCTTGTATGGGAGCAGATTTACTGAAGAAGAGCTACAGGATGTCAAACTGATGATCCAGAGTAATATGTACAAATATCTTAGCATTTTGCTTGATGGAAGAGAGCGCTTTGAGGAGGAGGCTCTTTCTGAAATGAATGCACAAAATTCTTTTGGTCAAACTGTGAGACAAGGTAATTTTTAATGCAGTAGCATCTTTTTGGTCGAGTTCCCACTTCACTGGTTCATTGTCTAGCTAACATGAAGCCTTGCATAAAGAGATGTTACAGACTTGTGGCACTTAGCTTACCATCATGTACATACTCTTCCTTAGTTATTGCATTAGTTAATGTCTGTGTTTCTCTAGCTTCTCGACACAGAACATGGAACTACAGGGGAAAGTTGACCAATTGAGTCTGTTATTTATGGCTTGATTCATTAGATTATCATTTATTGGGAAAATTTAAACAGGGAGCTGGTCATGGAGATATTATTTGGTCCTTGTAGGGGTAAGGCAAGGGGGTTTCAAATTCTCTTAGAGTGAAAACGAAGCATTTATTGTTATTTATATTTGCAATTGCAGTATTTACTTACTTTTTTCAAAATACAAATTAACTCAACAATTTTGTCCAAGACATGACTGCTCTGGTACAAATTTCATGTGCAATGTAGAGATTTTAGCTGGTGGTTTTTCTGAGTATTAGTCTGGCGCTTGCAAATTGTGTTGATATAAATAAAGACCATGATCAAGATTTGTGGTAATTTAGTGCTGATGGCATCAAACTGCTTCCTGAATACTATCTGATTGCAATCTTTTTCAGTTGGGAACAGTGAATCAAATGAAACTAGTCTATGCATCTATTCCCTCAACTCAAGGCTGAAGCATTTCTCTGATTGGCTCCTGGATATTATAGCTACCGGGGATTTAGATGCATTCTTCCCAGCAGCCACACGTGAGTATGCACCATTAGTTGAAGAAGTGTGGAAGGATCCAGCAATACAAGAAACCTATAAAAGAAAAGATGAGCTTCATTTTCTTCCAGATGTGTCAGAGTATTTCTTAAGCCGGGTAATTGCTCATCCCTGGAACTATCTCATTTGATTTTGTTATATATTAATTTGTTAGGTTTCTGGTAACCAAAAATTTCCATGAGCCATCAGTTTTTATTCTTGCCCATTTTTAATAATTTTTTAAGTTGTTCTGAGCCAACTTGTTGACTTTTTTTGTGTGTTCAATATTCACAATTTTTTTTTCCAGCAAGATAACTAAGTTGTGCAGTTTGGTGAAAATATTTCATTGGTTTTAGCTTAGCATTGCATGTATATCTCAATGTGATAGACCTGCTATTATGTTAGATTTGCTGGATTGGTGGAAAATGGAAGAGAGAACATTTATGTGTATAATTAGGTTGTGCATGGCAGGAGGAAAATGACATGTAGATATTGATTAGATCACTTGTTATAGAAATTGTTGGTATCTAGATTTATTAATTATATCAGATATATAATGACAATGTGGGATGTATCTTGTGTACAGTCTATCCAAAGAGTTGATTGTTGGTGGAGCACAACCGTTTAATGTGATTTATGTAACCAACCCCACTTATAATTAGTGGGATAAGCTTGTTGTTTATTGTTGATAGATCACTTGCTCTTTGTCTTTCAGGCCATTGAGATATCTAGCAATGAATACGACCCTTCTGAAAGAGACATCATTTATGCAGAAGGGGTTACTCAAGGTAATGGTTTAGCTTGCATAGAATTCTCACTTGATGACCGTAGCCCAATGTCTGAAGTTTACACGGAAAATATGGAAACTCAGCCACCGCCTCAGCCAAGTAAGTTGTATTGGTGTTTTTTTTTTATATTTTTGATAACCTCATTCTAGTGTGGGATAACCTCTTTTGCCTTTCCACTCTTTTGTGAGAGCATCAAGGGGAAAAAAAATAGATGATTCAAGAGTCATTCAGTGCAAGGAATGTAAAAGACTGATACTTGCATCTAAAATTTTGGGCAACTCTTTGTCTTTAGGTACAATTAATAAGAGTAAATACCAAGGGAATGAATGAAGGATGTAAGTGGGTTGAAATGTTTTGAAGATGTCGAGCCGGTTTTCTGTGTTGCCCTGAGTGACTATGATCAGCTGTGGCTTGCCCCAGACAGTGAATGGCAGTGGAAGCCTTCTGCAAAAAACAAGATGTTACAGAGCAAAGAGCTATTTGAGACAATGGTCAGACACCCTTGCTTCAAAGACTGCCCTTTTGTATTGATTCTGAACAAGTATGATATTTTTGGGAAAAGGTAAATAGGGTTCCTCTATCTGCCTGTGAATGGTTCAATGACTATAGTCCTGTGATTGCTCATCACACTAGCCAGTCCCTGGCACATCAGGCTTACTTCTATATTGCCATGAAATTCAAAGACCTTATGCTTCCCTCACTGGCCGAAAGCCTTTTCGTGTGGCAAGGCCGGGCAAGGGACCGTGTGACAGTCGATGAGGCTTTCAAGTACATTAGAGAGGGTTCCTATAAATGGGATGAGGAAAAAAAACAGAGGAGAATTACTATGGTCCACCTGAAGATTCATTTACAGTACCACAGACATAAGCTCTCTCCTTATATCAGACCAGAGTGATGTTCATGAGATGTATTATTTGCCATTGTTAAGGTAAAAGAGGCAAATGTAGCATGATGCCGCTAGCTTGTATTCTCTTCTCTGTATTCTTTTATCTCTTTTGAAATGAATGAAAGGTGTTTATGATCTTGGAAGATGTCTTTGAATCACCTTTTTACTGTTCAGCGTGAGGAGGCTCAGTAAATGGCTCTCATTTTTTAGAAAACTATAGAAAGGATGAAAGCTTTAATAAAGGTGTCACGCTGAATGGAGTAAAGCAAAATCAGAATCATAAAGTTAAAGCTTTAACTGCAGTAATAATTATTTCATTTTTTGCAAGAGAACCTTTAATCCGCAGCTTATTTTTTATATTAGCATATGAATTTTTAATCATTAAGAAAAACATTATTGAAATTTTAAACTCAAATGAAATTATTAACCTTTAGTTAATATTTAAAACAAGCTTATTTGAAAATCAAATAATTGGACTGATACAACTGATGCAAAGTCTCAATATTGCCCTATTCGTTCTTGCTATTAATTTGACTATAATTATATATGGTTCTTGTGCCTTGTATGAAACAAATTGGTAAATAAATTATGTTGTTTGTATCTTATCTGATGGGATTTTTTTTTTTTTTTAAAGGAACGGGGTCAAGTGTT